GATTCACTGATGATCAGTTTTTTTGTGATGCACTGAGTTTTGCATCATAAGAAAAAAAACTTAAAACAAAGGGTTCTCTTGGAAACGCAAAGGAGTCTAAAAACCGAAGTGTTTTCAAGAACAATTTTCACGTACCGAAAAGGGTATTCTCGCAAACTGAAAAAGATATATTCGGATATCCACCAAGTTTTTAAAGAAAGTTTCGGTTCCAAAAGAGTTTCGGATAATACGGCTTCGGAGGATACCTTTTCCGTTTTCGAACATTTTCCTCAAATATCTATTAGGTTTCTGATAGTTCGGATACCCTGTACCGTATTCTGAAGTACCTTTTCGGTTTCCAAAGTCACTAGCAAAAACCCCAAAGGTTTCGTATTACGGTTTCAAAACCTAAAAGAGTTTCGGAAAGAGTTTTCGAACCACTTCCAGTGCCCGAGAAAACGCTTTTATTAGAGTGTGCATAGCTTTCTGCTATCATCTTCAGCTGTTTAGAGAAGCACTATGTTTTTTCATTCGATTAGGGTCATATATCATTAAGGTTTGGGCTTGTCGTATGACGATAATAAGTTTTTTTTTCAGATACGAAGACAGTTTAATAGAAGTGAAGGATATAGCAATCAAAAAAGGTGCCTGTATTGGATTATGCACGGCATTATCGAATTTTGCTCTCTATCCAGGATTGGTGCTTGTCTATTGGTATGGTCCATATTTCTTTTTCAATGGTAAGCCTAAGCTTAACCGCAAACTTCACTTTGACTGATCAGGTTCTCCTCCTAGGCAAAAGTTTAGTTCACATGCAACGAATGATACATTTTTGTGCCGACCATGTTTGAGAAAGCGCTTTCGAATACATTGTTTCGGCCTTTTTGGTGTGTGTGAGACAGTACTTTAAATGAATACGAGTTCAAAAAGTTTTGATGTCCACAGAACAGGTGCGCTCAAGTAATCAGGCAATTGGCCATAGTGCGGACTTCTTTCTGTCTGGAAAGTCTGTATTAGGAAGTACATGGTTAGAAGAAGCAAGGTACAATCTAGCAAAAATCTCTTACCATCTGTGCAAAAATGTACAGGACCAGAGAAAACTTACTATTCGTGCTTTTTCTGGCGTTTATGCGAAAATTAGGCTCATGAAAATTCCAGTGCTGTAATACCTGGAATGACAGAACGCTCCTCCGTTTTAGTACGCAGAGATATTGCTGGAAAAAGGTAGAGCGTTACAGGTTGAACGAGAGAAGAGTTTTGCATTATCGCCAATTAGTAGTGATATCTTAATAAGAAATTGAGAAATTTTTTCCGATTAGAATTAACTTCTTGTTTTCACAAGATTTGAGAAAACAAATGTCTGTCTGTATGTCAGCGATTGGTGTGGCTATTGTACCGTTCGTCATCAGAAATGGAACGCTTGCATTTGTTGTTGCACCGAACGAAACTTCTTACGAGTGAATTACCCCAAGTTGCAAATCGCTTTTTTGGTGAAACTAGACGGACTATATGTGACTGACGATGCTGATTCCGAATATGAACATTGGACTTGCCTTAGGCTTTGGTTGGCCGTTTTTCTAGAAACTGGATCTCATCACACCAGGTACCACTTCAGATAATTTTTCTGAATCGACCATTAGTAGAGCATACAAAACTGTCTAGATTTCAAAAGTTACGGTTTAGGAAAATTTCCAAAAAGAGTGCACTCTAAAAAAAGCGTAGTTTAAAAAACTTTAAAGGGTTTAGGAGTTTACATAAAAAAGCGTTTAAGGAAGGGTTTAGCAGCTCTACAAAATCCTTACTCGTTCTAAATAATTTCATTTTCATAAACCCTTATAAAGCGTTTAGGAAAAGTGCAGACACGAGTAAAGTTACTAAATCTTCTCCTATGAAACTATACAGAACAAGAAACATTTCAGGAGGGTTACTAAGCCATAATTAAATTGATAATAGGTAATGATGCTTGCAATTGGAAATGTATGTTGAAATGTTTCGCATCTGATGTCTTTGTTTTTCTTCAATTTTAAAAGTCTTCTGTAGGATTTTGAAAAAGTTTGAGATATTTGGGCAAGCTCCAGAGATTGAATCAAACTAAAAAAGCTTTCGTATGTTCCATTAATTAATCTAGTTCTATAGAATTTCTAAATTAAAACTTTTCTAAATTAGAAGTGCAGCAAAAAAATAACTAATTTACGTGGTAAGCACAGGGCAGTTGCAGTGAGTAAGAGAATATCAACATATAAATCCTACTATTGCACAGTTGAAATTTTTCTTCAGACGTTTTGGGTATATCAGAAACGAGTCTTCTTCAAACATGGTGAAATGTATATGTCAATTACCTTAAGAAACACTTCATCTTCTCGAGAGATCTTCTCGTATCAAAAGTCAAAAAATAAATACACTTTAAGATACTATTGTCGTCATCATCACCACAAAGAAGAAAAACAGCTTCGTCATGCTCCTGAAGAGAAAAACGGATACAGCATGATGAAAGTAAAAACAATCATATTTCTACCATCAGAATTAGGCCTCGAGAACATTTTGAAGGAGCAGAGAAGAGGACTTTCTGAAATGATAATACTATTGCAGAATGTTTCGAAATATAAGTGTATGATTAACTCTTCTAAAAAATACCTTTTGATTTTTGCCCAAACTGAACAATCCTTCGCTACATGAAAAATCAAAAACAATGTTTTCCTAAACCAAATGGTGTTAGGAAAAAACCCTTTTGATTTTTGCCAAAGCCACAAAACCTTTCGACTCTTTCTAAAGAGCGCTTTTTGGTTTTTTTGGTCAAATAGAAAATCCTTTGCCTTGTCCGTATACGGACAAGGCAAAGTACGTATTAGGTTTATTTGGCGAAAAAACGCAAAACTTTTACTTATTTTGGGCTAATACAAAATTTTGTAAATATTTGGTTGAGTAATTTTGCAAAATTTTGTTTATTGCAAAAATTCACAATAAAAATGTCATATTTTTTGCAAAAACAAAATTTTGCAAAAAGTAACAAAAAGATTATCGACAAATGCGTTAGCTGACGTTTTTTGCAAAATTTTGTATGCTAGTTGCTCTTTTCTGCGTTATTTCAATGTTTAACGCAGAAATTAACTGAAAAATTTCTACATGGGAATGTACTGAGATTTGTTTTACGATTTTCTCAATAAAAACAAAGTTGAAACTTAACCTATCATGTCCCGTTTGATTCGCCTAAGCACACTCTATTCGCTTATCTGTAGATGAAGCTTCCAAAGTGTAATTGATTTTCTATGACAAACAAAAATCTGTTCTGGAACAAAAATTAGCATTTTGCCGACTAAAATATGTGAGGCCATGCTTCCACACAGATCTCATCGACTTGAATAAATTACAATGTGTCGAAATTCTGAATACACTAACCTTTTAAGATGAATATACTTGGTAGAGGATGGAGGTAGTGACGTGTATCAAAATCAAGGCTTTTTGGGTATAAAACTTCAATCCCTTCTCCTATGGAGATACTCAAGGAGTTTCATAAAAAAGCTAAAGATTAGAAATAGTCGAGTTTTCCACTTTCTTCACTTCTAAAGACTCATACAGAAAAAAGATAAGCAATACTGCTTCTGATTGTATAGGGGCTCTTAATGAATATGTTGAAGTAAACCTGAAGACGTCAGGATACGACTAAATCACAGGTAAACGTTGCTTGTACTTTTAAAACTTTGAGATAGATCCTTCATTTTCCAAAAATTATAGCGAGGGATGGAGTTTGCGCAATGAACGATACTATGTATTAGCAACTTACAAACGTTAGAGAATGTCGAATTGTTTTCTTAACACCGTTTAAATGTATGCCTTCATTTTTCTGTATGCCATCTTTTGCTCTAACATTATGCCTTTTCTCAACCTTCGAATAGATTGTACTCATTATACTGCGGGTCATGTCGTAGCAATAGTTCTTGCATGCTGGTCAATTCCTATTTATTTGGTAATGATAATATCCTATATACAAGATTATGCATCGGGGAACATGTCATTTAACGTTTTATTGGAACTTATAGAAGAGGTAAGCCGCAATTATTCCTGTAAAGACTCGAAACAAAAGTAAATTTGCAATCGATACATGAGAGTGGCTGGTATCGCCTCCTTCTAAAACAGGCAATTTACGATAAGGGATCCGTCGAATTTGTTAATAGTTGAAGAAATCATCGTTCGGGCTTGATTCAACGTTAGAAAACTAACAGATGAAAAGCTTTTTAATCCGTCTGCCGCAAAAAGAGCAGCAAGTAGAGTTTTTGTAAAAAAAGCCTTATGAGCGACTAGCAACACTTGACCTACTTAGTATGTTGATACTATAGAATACTATAGACAGAAAGTTTAATTTGCTATATAACTCCTAAAATTTGCAAAAAATCTGAATTCTACAGATATATTGATCTTTCTCTTATCTCAGCAGTCGGTTATGTCTAAATGGCATGGCGAAGGCGACAGTCCTGTTTCATTCGATGGGAATTTGGAATTTCGAAATGTTCACTTCAGATATCCGTCACGAAAGGAAAAACAAATATTGGAAGACCTAAACCTAAGAGTTGAAAGCGGTCAGTCGGTGGCGTTCGTCGGTCATAGTGGTTGTGGAAGTATGTTGTTGTAGTAAACCCCTCATTGTTATGTTGTGTTAAGATATATTTAGAGAGCACCATATTCAATCTGCTATTACGTTTTTATGATCCGGATGTTGGACAAGTACTGTGAATATCTAACAGCTTTTTTCAAGCCATCGTTATATTATATAATCATTGTAGATCATGCTAGATGGAAATGATGTTCGTACATTGAATATTGAAGCGTACAGGAAACAATTTGGTATTGTTCAGCAAGAACCAGTTTTGTTCGATATGTCAGTTGAAGAGAATATTCGGCTAGGAAAACTGGATGCTACAGACGATGAAGTAGTGCAAGCAGCAACCTTAGCAAATGCACATGATTTTATTATGCAACTCAAGGATGTACGAAGTCTCTAATTAATGAGCGCTTGTCAACTATATTCAAATGTTTATTTTTAGAATTATAAAGCCGTCTGCAACGACAAATTAAGCGGCGGTCAAAAGCAACGTATTTGCATTGCAAGAGCCATTGTTTCAAACCCCAAAATATTACTACTAGACGAAGCCACATCTTCGCTGGGTGCGAGGCAAAAGTCACATGATTCACGAGAAAAATTTATTTTAGTTCGTTTGTTTTAGATAATATAAGCGAAAAACTTGTTCAAAATGCTCTCAATAAGGCACAAAAGGGTCGGACAACACTTCTTATTGCACATCGTTTATCGACGATAAGAAATGCTGATAAAATAGTTGTGTTTGATAAAGGAAAAATTGTTGAATCCGGCAGTCACGATGAATTGATTGAAAAAAGAAGTTTTTATTACAATTTAGTCCAACTTCAAAGCGATAATGCCCTCGACGTAGAACAGAGTAAGTTTTTGAATTAATATATTTAAATGTTAACATTTTTCTTTCCAATCCAAGCAAATCTTCAAAATTCGACATGAATCAAACGTTTCCTTGAACATTTCCTTCACTTTCGCAAAGAGAAAAGATTGTAAGAGCAGTAACAGGTCCGTTCCGTGGGATCGTCACTAGCATTAGCGCACTAATAACACAAACCTCAAAAGCTCTGTTCGATCCACGAAATCATAAGTCGAGCGAGTTTAGGAAAGCTTTGCACCGATCGGGTTCACGTCCGAATATCTTTCCACTTGTTGAGGGAACGTATACGTAAAACAAAAGATAGACAAAGTATTAATTTTTATTTTAAGCGTTGTATTCTTATGTCGGAATCCAGTAAAATGACTTTTTATGTAATTTTTCGGTGTAATTTCATGAATAATAAGATCAGTTAATGCGCGTTGTACATGACAGATGATAAATTTCTTGGGACAAACGTTTAATAATAGATTTTGGTGCAATATTTCGTATCAGTGGATGTAATTCTGATAATTGACACACAGTCGAAGTATCCGTAAATGTTGACTATAAGGGATGCACTTCTTTATATATCACCGACAAAAAATTAAAGTTCATTTACAGTTAAAGTAGAGTGCTTTTTCGTATCCAGCACACTTGATAACCCCGAAAATTTTCTATTTTTGGCGAGGGTACCGTCAAAAGTTAAGAAAAATTTTCAAAGTTGTATAATTTTGCTATGAAGATTTTTCTGCGGTAATTTGTTTGAAAATTTTTCTTAACTTTTTGACGGTACCCTGGCTAAAAATAGAAAATTTTAAGTGTAAATCTACCAAATTTCCAATTCTTTCTTTAAGAACCATTAAAGATAAGCCACGACCAACGTGCTCAGTAGATCATCTCAAATTCATGAAAATGTTTGTTCTAAAGAAGCCTACTATGTTGCAAGAAATCTGAGATGGTCGACTGAGCACGTTGGTCGTGGCTTATCTTTAATGGCTTATAAGTCATTTCAATCTGCTACTGAAGAAGGGGTAGAGTATACGACGAAACGTTACATAAATACGAAATCAGAGGTGGGCAAGTCCGACCATTTTCAAGTCCAAGTCAAGTTAAAGCCCGATAGAAATTTTATTTATGAAGTCCAAGTCAAGTCTAAGTCCAAGTCCAAATGTACGACAAGTGCAGGGTAAAGTTCGATTAGAAGCGCGCCAAGAAGACCACTGTCGACTGTGTGAGTTGAAAGCCAAAGTCCATGTCTGATAGAATTTTTGTAACACAAGTCGAATTCCAGTTTCAAAGAGAAAATTTTTTGCTTGAATAACAATAATGTATGCTTAATTACAAAAAATACAGTCAAAACATCAAATATCAATGAGAAACAAAATAACCACCGAAAAAACACAAATATTCTCTTTGTCTTGTGGATCTATTTTGGATCCACTTTTTTCATGAAGCGTATAAATGCTGGTCTCTCAACAAGTGATAATGGAAGCCCAAGAGCAATAATCAAATCTCGAATAATACTATCAGTTAACTCAATTTGTTTAGGATGTAACGGACCATATTTATTAATTTTACCTAAGAACAAAGTGGGAAAGTTGTAGCAGCACAGATATACTGTGAAGTATTTAACTTATCAGAAAAAGCATCGGCTATTTTGGGCTGCATTTTATGTACTTCTATCAATGATTCAGACCATTTATTTAAATCACTTTTATGGTGTCTTTTCATATGTCGATTACAATTTGAAGTCACATGGATCTTATTTCAAACTATTGAGTGATATAATGAGCACCTAGCGCACCAACGATCACCATCGAATTTTTTGACCAACTTTTTCTCGATATAGCCAGAGCTATTCTCAGAATTCGTAGTTGACAATGCCATGTTTTAATTATGTTTAAAAATAAGACAAAATTTTTGTACTGAAAACGTATTTGTAAAGTGTTAAGTTTATAAATGAAACAATACTCAAATGTATTATATATATAGATATATATGTAGGTGTATAACTGTTCTGTTATATCTCAAGATAGATACAAATGGACTTGAAACGGACTTGAAAAATAATCTCAAGTCTAAGTTAAGTCTAAGTCCGTCAAAAAAGGCTTCAAGTCCGGACTTGGACTTGCCCACCTCTGTACGAAATGAAAGTAATCCTAATTTTGAAACATAAACGGTTCTCGTAAAATAGTTGAAATAATCTATATTACTAGAGACTTTCCTAAAGAGAAATATATAACACAGATGCGTTACGTATGTGTTAGTAGCACGATTGATTGTCCTACGCAGTTCAACTTATTATTTATTAACAAAGGAATTTGAGCAGATGAGACGTATGGCAAAATCCAAAGGTTATTCACGCTCGTACGAGTTCTTATCAGTAAATCGTTATTTTCAATTCCGGATAGTTTTATGTTGAGAATAATAATGCTGCTTCTACTAAAAGAAAGATTGTTTGCTGAAATACCGTTCGTTAAAAAGCCATCCATCGCTCTTAATACAAAATTAACATAATTTACAAAATAATTTAGCTACAATTAGACTTAAAAATAGTTGTGAGATCAACTAAAACGGTTGGCTCATTTTTTCAACTGGGAGATAATATTTTTAATTCACTCAAAGATAATTCACTTCAGTTTATATTATCAAATGTAACAATTGTGACAGTTGTACGTTGGAAAAACTACGAAATACTTGTGCAAAAGACTAAATGAACATGGTGCACCACAAAGTATTATTAAATCTAGTTCCTCGCTGAGTGATGTCTATTTCTCGCATGCACAAAGCCTTTCTTGGTCAACTAAAATAACTAGAATTAAAGCAAGAGCCTCACCTTATCTGAACAATTTTGAGCCACAAACCAAAATTAAATGATACTGTACGTTCGATCCTTCTATTCATTTTCTTGAAGGTATCTCTAAAACATTGACACAAGATCAAGAAGACAGAATAAAATGAAGTATAAAACGAATGAGGTTCTATTTCTTTTTTTTATACCGCTCTTGTTTATTAAGAAAAGATAGTTAGAACAAATTTTGACCAACGTAATCTAGCAGATCAAGGTCTAGGGTGCAGAGTGAACTAAACATTGTAACGAAAAACAAACATAAATACAGAAATACAGATTGTAGTTGTTGAATACAGTAGCAATACAGATAGTCTTTATTTCTTTATTTTTCTTTTTGGCTTGTATTAATTCCATCAAAGATATGTACATCTAACTTCTCTAAAGCACATATAAGGTATTTCTACCTCTTTCTTTTCGCTATTCTTATCCAGAAATAGATGGTATAATATTTCATAACTGTTTGTTCATATAATAGCTTTACATATTGCACATAAAGTCATATGTTCAGCTCTAACCGTATTTAATATATCTCTGTCATGTATACAAGCTTCATCTTGAAAATCAGAATTTCATTTTCGAAACGTCGGCTTAATTTCAATAAATAAGAATAACGCACACTTCAAACAACCCACTGTTAGTGCAAGGGGGAAAAAGCGGACTCCTGGACTCCCATGGACTCCTATGGACTCCTATGAACTCCTGGACTCCCATGGACTCCTATGGACTCCTATGAACTCCTGGACTCCCATGGACTCCTGAAGTCCAGGAGTCCAAGAGCAAAGTGTCCTTTTTTGGGAATCACTTCCCAAAAAAGAACAAAAGTGTCCAATTTTTGGGCAGTGATTCCCAAAAAAGAACACTTAGCTCTTGGACTCCTAGACTTCAGGAGTCCATGGGAGTCCAGGAGTCCGCTTTTTCCCCCTTGTGTTAGTGTCACCTACACTCTATGAAAAAGAGCACAAACTTCGTAAGATTCTGATCCACTACTGATAGCTAAGAAATCTCACATTCAGATTTTTGAAAAAAAGATTAGAATAATGGCGCCACAGTGAACACGGAGAAGATTATTGTCTGACATATAGAAATAATTCATACGATGACATCTATTTTCTGATCTAAATACAGTCTTATAACTGAAGAAACACGAAGGTCATTCAGTATTGCTAAGACGTTGGACATTCCATAAACGAGGGCATAATGAGATCGACCTTTATCTACATGCTTTCAACAAGATTATAAGAAGCGAAAATGAAATGGTTCTAAGACTTATTTCACGACAGTATTTGTTACAGCTACGGACAAGGTCTTAAAAATTTCACATTGTAGCCTTATTTCTTTACAGCCGTGGCAACACCTTATTCTTCAACAGTGTCTTCTGAGGAGGAAAAGCAAAATATTCAAGACGTTAATAAAGGTCGATCTAAGCGTGAAAAATTTAGAAATTTCTTGCTAATATTCAAAATATTTCAATTGAATCAACCAGAATGGCCATATGTTTTAATTGGACTGGTATCAGCGTGTATAAGTGGACTTGAATTACCTGCGACTGCCTACATTATGGTACAGTTATATTCGATCCTAATTTCTCCACATGCACAGTATTATCTGAATTTTATGACGATTATGTTACTCATTGTTGGTATTGGAGGCTCACTATTTCAGCTTTTTGTTAGCCTTAGTTTTACAAAATCTGGAAGTGAATTAACACTGCGAATTCGATCAATGAGTTTCAAAGCGATCTTACGCCAAGAAATCGCTT